CAAAATTAAAATTATCTAAAATGCGTCCCTATCGGGGTGAGGGATTTTCGATAGAAATCTGTATTTGGAAGGAAAATATTTATCATTGAATGAATAGTTAAAAGAATTCACCTTTTAATTCAATACCTATATTACATTTGTCCTCGGTTAAAAAGACATTTATATATTACTTTAGTGTTAATAAAATGTAATATCCTAGTATCTACTTCACATTTAAATATATTGATATTTGAAAGATTTGAGATTGTATCTGCTCCAAGTAAGTATTCGTTAAATATGTATTATTAATATTTGTATTTATTTTGTTCTAATAATATTTATTTAAGTTATTAATAAAGATATTTTAAGAATGTTCTATTTTATTATTTATTGATATAACTTATATTTATTTAATATTAATATGCAAAACCAACTCTCCCTATCAGACTTGTTATAATAAATTAATTTCTCAAATTTGGCATAATTGACCAAAATTAATTTGTAAAATAAATGTTTCGAACTTACTAGTTCGATACTTTATTTTATAAAATAATTTAAATTGAAATTATTTAAAATTTAATTAAGAACTACAACTTACTTCTAAAAATTACAATTTGAATTTACTGACATCTGTAAATTTTATTTTCTACTACAAGGTGGCGCTAATTGGTTTAAAAGCCTAACATTGGCGTGGGGTCTCTAGAGGATACGTGCTTTGTGATTATAATCATCAAATACTACACCGGCACACAAAAAAAAAGTGCTCTGTTCTTTTGACCGGACCCATCTATCTCTATGTATTTTGACCCGCTGAATCCGAATCTGAGGTCAGTTTGGCCAATACACCTCCAAAATTTCAAGAAAACTTTAAAAAACCGAAAAAAATTACGAAAATCGGCAATTTTGGTGATAGAAAAAATTTTAAGGACCTAAACCAAGCATGACTTTTATGTATTTCGATCCGCTGAATATGAATCTAAAGTTGACTTAGACCATAAGCCCTTTAATATATAAGTAAATTCCAAAAAACCCTCAAAAATTGCTGAAAATTGCGATTTTTATAAAGAAAAAATGTTTTATCGAAATTTTTCATGATTCTCATGTATTTCGATCCGCTGAATACGAATCTCGAGCATATTTAGTCCATACATACTTAAAAATGTACGTAAACAGCAAAAAATCCCCGAAAATTTCGAAAAATTGGAGTTTTCATGATGAAAGAAATAGAAATTATTCATGATTTTTATTTATTTTGATCGACGTAAAAGTCCTGGAATGAAATCTAAATTTAAGGTCCATTGAGAATTCCTTTTTCTAATTTAAGAAAGCGAAAAAGGAACCCTTTACGTAGGTCATTTGAAGATTCGATATAAGCGAAGAAGGGATTGAAATCATGAAGACAAAAGTTTTAGAATAGATTTTTTGAAAAAAATAACTTAATCAAGTACAATCAATTTTTAGAATTATTTAAGTGCAATTTTTATAATTTTTTATAGAGTTTTTGCAATTAACTAAAATCTTTTTAGGGCTCCGGGCCAAATAAACTTTAAATTTATACTCTACAGATCAAAAAAACATGTAAAATACATTTTGTTTGTATTTAAAATTTGATTTTCATCATAAAAACTCCAATTTTTCGAAATTTTTGGAGATTTTTTGCTGTTTACGTACGTTTTTAAGTATGTATGGGCTAAATATGCTCGAGATTCGTATTCAGCGGATCGAAATACATAAAAATCATGCTTGGTTTAAGTCCTTAAAATTTTTTCTATCACCAAAATTGCCGATTTTCGTAATTTTTTTCGGTTTTTTAAAGTTTTCTCGAAATTTTGGAGGTGTATTGGCCAAACTGACCTCAGATTCGGATTCAGCGGTCAAAAGAACAGAGCACTTTTTTTTGTGTGCCGGTGATCAAATCACAACACCACAAAAATATGTTATTATGTCTAAACATAAAAGATGTCATATGTCAAAACATGATATAATGCACATACTTTGATTTTCTCTTATTATACAGAGAATGGTAGCACTGCGCAGCTTTCTGAGTGCCTTTTAAAAGGAGATGGAAAACTCCGCCATTTTGGACACTTATTACGTGTTGCCTACATCTTGGCGCAATAGTTTTAGTGGTTATGTTATATTATTTACCCAAAGTCAGTCCCCAAAGATATTATTTACGAACCTTCACCATTAACAAATAATAAATATCTTGAAAACCTTGCTTGGTGATTTTATATTAAATCTTTCCATTTGTAAGTAACAGTAACTACTTTAATTATGTTCATATTGTTGTATTCTAAATGCTTTTTATTTTTCAGGTCTCCTAGGAGCACTTAACTTGAATAGTGTTTACAAACAATTAATCAAATTGTTTAGAAATTATTTTTAGCTAAACTCTGTCTGTTCTCAGTATTTTGAGGTAACTGATTATTGCTCTTGTAAAATGTGAAAACGTATTTAATCAATCATAAAACAATTCTTTGTAGAAGGCAATTACCAAGAAAATTGAAGCATTTACTTCAATTTACACACCTGACAGTAGAGGGCCCACAGCCTCACTAAGAAAATATCCCCCTCTGCTAAATCTGGATAAATGGTAATTTCTGAGAGGCAAAAGTACCACTGATCTAGGTTCATTAATTTACTACTTTAGACATATACAAGAATCATAAAAATAACAGAAACGTCTTTTAGAGCCACCATATGTCGACATTCTTTTTACAATATTAAGTCGACGGACCAAGAAAAGCATAGCTAGACCATCGATTGTTATAGAAGCAGAAAGTAGGGAGATATGCAAGAGTTTTGAAAATGTACACTGGCAATCTAATGTTAATACAATTAACAAAATTGTGTATTCTTTGAGAACGAGAATATTGGTGAAGGTGGTGGCAGTAATACCCATATAGGTGTATTTTCATGAATAAAAAATATTAAGCAATTTCTTACTGTGTAACAACTGAAAGAAGACTCATTTGTAGATGAACAATACATCTGTTTTAGTTAAAAATTTAACAACTACATATAACTAATTTAAAAAAAATAACTGTTATACAAATTTAACGTGTCTATCTTAGATAAATTATAAGATAAAAACACAAAGTAACTATCTTTTGCAGCTTGCCTGCAAGAGTATATTCCTCTGGTAATATCTTTTAGTTAGAGCTTCTTTAATCTCACATTTCTTTGTGTTTATTTTATAGTTTCGTACCATATTTACAGCTGAAAAAATGCATAATATAATATTAGATTGTTTGCCTCAAAGATTTTTATTACATTTCAAAAATAAAATATTTGTTCAATAGCATGGGACTGGCGAAAATCATCATAATATTAAGGTAAAATCATATGCACAGCTTTAGAAATAATTTAAAACCACTCACCTCTATTTCAAAATGCACTCGCAATTATAACTTTACATCAAAAAAGTTTCTTGTATATTATTTAAAATAAATAAACATTTCTTCTACATTTGTTGCCTTCATTTAAAATCTCAAAATACCAAGATATAGGCTACCAGTTTAACATTTTTGAAAAATGTGTTGCCTAACCTAGTAGTAATTGCACCAAAATGGCCGCACCCTATGTTAGGCGTGTCGGACGTCTCTCTTGCACCGTATTCGCTCCGTGCGAAGTCATGGAAAGGGAAGCAAAAGCGATACTAGCGCTAGCTGCGGATAATTTGTGCATTTTAGGGCGATATTTTGTAATTTTGGTATATTAAATACATGTATACATTTTATTTTTTCTCAAAAAAGTAGGTAAAAACAATAGAATAAGCAACCGGAGTTGCTGTGTTGAAAATTGTACAAATACTACCAAAAAAACAGTGAAACTTATATAAAAAAATTCAGAAGCAAAGTGAAAATTAAATCAAAGAAATGGTGTACAATAAGAAGAAAAATTACCTTTATTTTTGTAATAATAACAGTAATGCTGGAAATAGTAGACATCAGAAACTTGAAAGTTTTGAAATAAACAATAAATTATTATTTTACGATGTTCTTTAATATCCTTTTATTCTTAAATGTTCATTCAACAAGGACTAGATTTCAACATTTCTGCCTTTGATTATATGTGGCTGGAATACAATTTTGTGACTTACTGATTGTAAACCAGTTTTAATCATTCATTCTATGTTTTCTTTCCAACAAAAATAAAAATATAAATAAGGATCCTTTTTTTATACATTTTAACTTCACACTATTATTAAATGGTATTTTTTTATTTTGATAGAATAGAATAATTCTTCAATGACAACTTATTAGACTTAGGCAACTTCTCATACATTTTCCAGTAAATACTGTTGCCTGTCTATATTTTATTATTCATTTTTATTGATTATACATAATTTTCTTTAATTTAAGAGATAAAAATATATAATAACAATAAATTAATGTTCTACTTGTTTTTCAAATCCATATACTTTTATTAAAACTAACATATATACTTTTTAATTACGAATTCTATTAAAAATTGCATTTGTCAGCATAGGCAGAAATAGTCCATTAGTACCAAAACAAATTGGCGCTGCTGTCGCGCACGGAGCGAATAGAAATCAAAGTATTGTGATATAATGTCATGTGTGAGGTATTGATTTAACTTTATCTAAGGCTTTAACACATCACTGACCTAATAATGCTGCGTTTGAAAAGTACTTCGTTTTACTCTTTTTACTCGAAGCTGTTCTTTTAATACATCTATGGCTTCTCGATAGGATCTGCTCCGTGGTCTTTTAATGCAGAGTTGGTAAGTCGATTAAGATCTATTTACTCCGAATTAAATTTTAGAGCTTTCGGAGTAAATTTAATTATTGTGATAATTGACAAAATAGATGTACTTCTCTGAGATGTACAGACAATTGTTCTATGTCTCTTGTGTCGCAGTTTATTCTTTTTCATATTATTTACGTGTTAAGAGCAAAAAATATTTATAAAAAATGTTAGGCAGAAATAATAACATGGTTTATTTTTAAGTCAAAGCAAAAAACGAAAAATACTTTACAACTTGCAACAAAAACCATGAGACGAGGGATCAAATGTGATTTAACAGAAGTATGTTATTTTAATAAAAACCGGAAACGGGACACACAACCAAATCCATAGCTGATCTTTTATTGCAGATAAGCTTAATTTGCTCGATAATCTCGTGATTAAAAAATCTACTATCTCTACTCCGCTCCAGGAGGAATTTTTCAAACGTAGCATAAGTAATAAAAAAATATTATATATTTATTAAAAAGAAGATATCAAAGATTAATTCACACTAAAGTCATTATGGAATCAAATTCCTTAAAAATTTCTCAAAAATATTGTAGCCACTTAAAATTCCCATCAAAGTCAAAATTTCCACCCACATTACTCATTAGTTCATAAAAAATAATTTTCTGGTTCTTTATAAAAGAAACTTCAATAATTATCCGATTTATAATTTCTTTGTTAGACCAATTTATTATAACCGATCAAAACTACATCTATTTCAAACATTTTATTTCAAAGAAAGATAAAATATATACTGTAAAATAATGTGTTTTCTAACTGAAAGTATAAAACCAAATTATAGGTAATAAGAATAAGATTATTTGGTATTTCAAAAATGTTAAATTTTTTTGCCATGTAGATACCAAATAGTTTATCCAAAATTGTACGTCTATCTAATCATATGAACATTTTCAAAAAACTTTAATAAAATAACATCCAGCACATGTTAATTATTTTATCTAATCAAAATATTTAATTCATGCGCAACTATTATAAACTTGTTCCAATTTGTTGCTATTTTGAAATCATTTTCAAAACATTAAACTAGAGATCGTACTTAATTGGAATAATATTTCTCTAGTGTTTAATAATATGTAACACAATTAAATAACGCTCATTGTTATTTGAACTATGCTTATTTAAAAAGAACCAAGCAGCAACAGTTTATAATAGAGGGTGTTACCAAACCTTTTGTCAATATTTTACATATTAAAAAAAAACGTAAACCAAAATATAATTTTTTTGAAAAATTAAAACGAACAAAAATTACATTGCACAAATTAAGGTCTTAAAATAGATGATTAAAAAATTTAGAGGGTTAAAATTACCGTATTTGTTGTAACTGCTCTTGATCGTTAAATTTTAAAATATCGAAATTTTGGCAGTTTTTTTATTATGTACTCTTATAAAATTGGTATTTAGTTTTTTGTTTTCTTTTGATCGCCTCAATACGTCTGTAAAATATTAGCAAGGGGTTTAATAACACTGTGTATAATATGAAGTTATAAAAAATATCATTTCCAGTTTTATAAGATTTATTATGTTATCTAGCTTTACTTATATCATATAAATAAATGCAGAACAACACTCGACGATATGAAATTTCGATATCTATTTAAATTCGAATTTAAAGAAAAACATGTTGAATATTATGAAAAATTTAACATATTAACTAATATGTTTTATGCAAACGGAACTTTAAATTGTTTATAAAAGGCTAATTGCTGATCCACATTAATCATTTCGTTTTATTAGTTATTTACTATGAAGTTCACCAAATTTTTATTCATTGGTAAGTTCTATATATATTCTATATTTTGACAAATATTAATATTAAAAACATCATAAATAATGTTTAAATAATATTATTTATTTTATAGGGTGATTCAATAAGGGTGGGGACCGGCTTTATATCGAGAAACGTTTGTTTGTTTATAGAAAAACATATTTAAACAAACTTCTAATTAGTCGCTAGGTGACGCAATATAATATTTAAAAAATGTAATTTCGTTATTTTAAACCTCTAAAAGCAATACAGTTTTGTAAATATTTTTGGATGTTCCACAAGGGTCATTATCCAGTCCACTTTTATTTGTTATCTATGCTTCACAATTATTAACACTTGCATTAAAAATCTGCCAAATGCATATCTAGGTTAATGTACTATTAACTTAGCTTGTACTAGAATTTTAAAAAGTACTGTTTGGAATTAAATCTATATAAATATGTTTCTAGAAATCGTGCTATCAGCAATATTAATATTGCCCTTAATAATGATACTTTAGGGCTGCATTCTTCTGAAAAAAGTTGGTTTTTATTCCCTTGGGACAAAACGACTGATCTCTTATATATCTTGCTGTCTGATAGTAATTTTGAATTACCGACCTAGGATTGCAGTTACAAAAATCGGCGATGTTACAAAAGGTCTTCAAACCAATCTTGGATGGTGTCTCCTTCTTCAGTCTTGAGCACGTGGAAAGGTTGCGAATTTCAAACATTTTCAATACAAAAGTCAACATTTCAGTTAAATTACAGTATTTGTAAACAAATTCATAAACAGATAAAAAGTAAGCTTATTTAATATTGTATTATTTTTTAATTACTATGAATCTACTAGACAGTATAACCACAGCAAAAAAACTAACTTCATTTACTGAACTAATACTATGTTTGATATATCATGAATTATAAATTAAAAAATAATTGAAACTTCGACAAAACGTAATCGATTGTTATAAATATAGGATCAATAAAAAGATAATTTAAAAGAAAATTGAACAAAATAACAAATAGGTTTTTGATATTCCAACTGGTTACAAGGTAGAGTCTCTTTTCCTCTACTGCGGAACCTAATGGCAGATAATCTAAGAAGAACACTAAATAATCAATCAAGAGCCGTATGTCCAAGGATACGTCGATGACATAATTATTCTTATCCTCGGAAAACACCAAACTATAGTCTTCAACTCGTGCAAAGAGCTCTTGTGGTGCGTTAGGAAAAACATCTTGGTAAACCCTAAGAAGATATAACCATTACTCGGAAAACGAAACTGGAGGTCTAATAAATCCAAATTTGTTTAAAGGAATGATAAACACAACAAACCAAGTAAAATACCTAGGTCTAATCCTAAGTAGTAAAATAATTTGAAACCAACACTTATAAAAAGGACCAACAAATGTAAACTGTCTTTCATTTTAGGAAAACATGGGGATTAAAACCGAAATTTGTTAACTGGCTATATTCGGCAAAAACAAGACCTATGATAACTTATGGAGCAACTGTTTGGTGGGTAAAAGTAAACCAGAAAACAGCCATCAGTAATCTGCCTTTGTATTACAGGAGCACTGAAAAGTGCTCCTACAGCATCTATGGAAACTATTCTAAAACACCCACCCCTTGACCTGATAATAAAGGGGGAGGCCAAAATGAGTGCATATAGGCTGGATCTCCAACAAACAGAACCCACTGGAGAATATTAAACAAACAAGATTAACACATGATGTAAATCATACCATATTAAACATAGAATCAAATCACATGACACCCCGCCTAACCTTTAACAGATTCTTTTAGGTCAACTACAATTAGAAAGAAGTAATTAAGGAGGTGGTCGTCTCACTGGGAAAACATACAACTATATTTCAGACAAATATATACAACCGAGTTGGGTGTACGAGAGAATTTAAGAAATAAGTAAAAAACAAACCATCTCAATTCTCTCAAACAGCCAAGTAGCCATAAAGACCTTTAGTTGAAACATAATCAAGTCGAAGCTGACCGAGAACTGTCTTGGAATACTTAATGATCTGGCAACTCACAATAAGATAAAACTAATATGAGTACTAGGGCATAAATGTATCCAAGGACATGAAAAATTTAATGAACTCGCCAAAGAGGGATTATAAATATCATTTACAGAACCCGAACCTGTATTTGGTATTAGCAAAACCTCTGTTCGACAGGCATTGAACAGGTGGATAACCACGAAATAACAAATTCACTGAGGAGACTAACCTTCGCATGCCTGCTGATGTATTACAGTTTGCAAGGCCTCAGATATCTACCATTGTAGGCTTACTAACTAGCCACTGCTTGCTGAAACTTCTTTATGTGATAGGATTACACAATGTTTCTACCACGTGTAGTCAGACTCTGCATGGAAGATGAAACTTTGTACCTTGTTAGCTTTGAATGCTAAGCTCTTCTTAGGCGGCGACTTGTCACTTTTTATAGAACCAGAAAGAACGTCCCAGGAACTTTTTGAAGTCAATTTAGTAATACTAACCAGAGATACAGGACTTACCTGAATACCATCAAAGCTGGAGAATACAATAGATCCAAGAGGCCACAGTGTTCTGTATTAAATCTAACCCTACCTGTTTACAACCGAGTGAGCCCATTATGAAATAAGCCAAGAGAAATGGCGCCTAACGCCAGTTTCAGTGAGTGGATCATCAACCTTTGAACTATCAACAGTAAATGAGTATCGTTCTTGTCGTATTGTACCTGCCGGCACGTATCTGTAAATTCAAGTTGAGTCCAACTCCATCCTTCGACAGGCACAGTGCACACATCGTGCCTTTAGCAAACTTTGCTAGCCTAATCAGCAGTAGATATATTCAAATCGAGTCTGTCTCCAACTACCAACTATCTAAAGTCTAAAGTAATTCGTACTGTACCTATTGGCACCAACTGGAGGTAGATACATTTAAAAAGCATTTAAGCTTCTTAGAGCAAGTTTACCTAATGTACATAATATGTAAATAATCAAAGTGTGTGTTACTTACTTAATAAATAAATGCACATTATCATCATAATCAACATCATTAGAGTTTCATTAACAGGCTGATGTTCAAATGTATGGTTCAAATACTTACGTACGATTCTGAAAAATTTAGAATGGAAATTATCACACCGCCTTAATGAATCACCCTGTATAACATTTTAAACTAATAATAATTGAAATGAATTATAAACGTCATAATCACGCAAAATCAAAAGAATGTCTAATTGTTTTTATGTATTTTTTTAACGCCACCATTTTTTTAATATTTTAGTGGGTACCAAATTTTTGCCAGTGTGGATTACTTCAGACATGAGCGTCTTAATGTGTCATTTACTCCCTTTTGACGCCTCTAATATATATACAAGAGAGTTACTTGTACCAATTCCTTTATTTTTAAAGTAGAATGGGTGGCAGTGGTGAGAATAATGGTTTTGTCTAAATTTAAGCAAATAACACGTATCTGCAGTACTTTTCAAAACCTGGCAAAAATCTAGTATGTTTGCTTAAATATTATTAGAGTATTTACCTACACATATCGAACTTACAACAAATACACCATCTGAACAAAAACATATCAGTTATTTTAAATATTCTTATTTTACAATTTTAATAATTAATATTTTAAATTTATCTGGTAATTGACATTAATTATAGTTATTAATTTGTTGTTACAGGTTTGATTGGAATTACCTTATTCCTAGAAGGTATTTCTGCAAAACCTAGAGTAAGACGACAAGCTGCAAATACTGGACCAGGTAGTCCTTATATGCCAGGTAGTCCTTATATGCCAGGTAGTCCTTATATGCCAGGTAGTCCTTATATGCCAGGTAGTCCTTATATGCCAGGTAGTCCTTATATGCCAGGTAGTCCTTATATGCCAGGTAGTCCATATATGCCAGGTAGCCCTTATATGCCTGCTGGTTAAGTGGAAGAGCAAAACTGATTTTTATCAGAGATTGCCATTTGGCAAACTATTTGTATTATATATATATTCTTTTCTTTTTTTGTATTAGGTACTTAGTTTGGCCAATAAAAGCATTTATTATTTTTATTATTATTATTTTTATTTTTATTTTGTGTCATCGGTATCAACTACTAAGGTTATTAGCCTCGTGCTCTATGTGTTCTGTGTGTTTTGCTTTGTTACTGTTTCCCAGAGCCACTTTAGGAACAGCACTGTTAAAAATCTAGTTTCATTTAGGAATTGGAATAGAAAAGTTCACTCATACTATTATTGTCGCTAGTAACGAAAACGTTACATTTAAAATGGACATAATGAACTTACATGGTTTCCAGTTGGATTTTAAGAATAGAGTAATCAAAGTTGGTATCGAAAAGAAACTTATTCGTCATCTATATTTGTTGCACACTACTAAAACACGAGTTAGCATTTTCCTAATAAATATCCCCGCGTGTACTGAAGAGGTAAAGAGGTATCACCTGTGTCATATTGTAACCAGGACCGCCGGGAGCCAGGTGGGGCCACAGGACAAGTTTTCAGGTAGGTTTCCGCGACAATTTAAAAAAAAAATAAGACCTTTCATTATCACATTTCTTCTAAAGAAAGGTCCTCAACCAAAAACTTAGATCCTTTTTAGTGAAATCTCTAAAAAGAAGTCTTCATCTTGTATTTAAATATAAACTGAAAAAAAAAAAATGATTATCTGAATATTTATTTACAAATTTTCAAAGAATTCGAAAAACTGACTAAATGAATACCGTTTTTACATGTTCAAGACATTTCGAGCATTGTCATTTTGGTGCATATTTATTATGTAGAGTCTATTGAAAAAGTGATGTTATAATATTTTACGTGTGTATAATTAAGTTAATTTCCTATATATTTTCTTATTTATATTTCATTCCATATTGCTATTTTCGCTTATCAAGTAATAAATTTTGAAAACTTAAGCCCATATTCACTTTGTTGCAATATAAGTCACTTGGATACTATCCACCTATCATGTTGTTGTTATTTTGTTTTTGTTTTATTTAACTATACAGGGTGCTTCAAAAAACATGTGGGAAATAAATTATGAAGTTAGTTAGTAGCGGCTAAACAACTGGCGGGCCAAGAAGCGTCGCTTGCATTGACACGTCTGCTCAATCGTTTTTAAGGTAAGTATCCACATGACTGTGACATGGATTGTGTATTAATATCGAGAAATCTAAATGTGCGCCAGAATAGGACCTGAGATTTTTTATGCCAAATATAAATATTTCAAATATTTGTTGTGCTCAGGTCTAACTTTATTATGTTGAAGGACTCCTTCAACAGTTTACAATAGAGGGTGTTACCAGAGACAACCCAGCGAGACGTGTAACTCAATGTATTTTTTTTGTTCGGTAAAATTTGTTTGGGCGATTGTAACCACAACCAGTCTATGATGGCGCCACTAGTAAATAGCGGGAAAATTAAAAATGCTTTGGGGCGAGAAATTCAAACATGAATTCAGAAATAAATAGGTTTTCTATACAAATTTACAGGAGAAACAAAAACTATTGTTTCACTGAATATCAACAAATATAAAAGTTTCTAATAACATCAAATTTTTTATTATATAATAAAGGAGGTTTTAATCAGTTTAATATAAGCAGTGAATAAAGTTTTTATTACTTTTGTAAATTTCGCTAAAAAAACTTGAAAATTCTATTGATTATTAAATATTTAAACTACACCAAACTCTTTTTCTATAAATTATATTTTTGTAAGGTACAGAAAAACAAACTACAATTGCTACGTTTAGAAAGTATCTCGTATCATTTTGTGACAAATTACAAAAAAAGTCACAGTTTTTACATATTCATAATATATTTTATAATGTATAGAGTATATAGATACCTTTTTGCCAGACTATCATAAGTACCATTTGAACAAAAATGTCGCTTACGTTAGTCTGGCAAAAAGGTATCGATATGTTATGACTGTTTACTTTAATAGAAACCATCGAAACGAAACAAACACACACATACACTCACACAAATGTGTAAGGCCCGAGTCGAGTAAGGTCCCATCCTGTAAACTGGATTGAAACCTGCTAGACCCATTCCGTACACTCCCTGCTAACTCCTCTTAGGGTCATCAAGATCAATTTATATGCCATGCCTTCTAAAAGGTAATGAAGGATGACATACTATCCTCGTTTAAAGAGGACGTTGCTGAAGGCTTACCCCTGTTATGTCGTCTGTTTGTGTATTTTGTGCTTGTGCATTCCTGTTGTGTCCCCAGTCATGTAAAAGTTTTCCTAGTCTCCTAATTTGGTGACTAGGTGGACCTTCTGCAGCAGGAGGTACCTCTCAAACATAGCAAATATTATCATTAATAATAAATACTATTTAAAGATGAATACATTTTTGTAATTTTTTTGTCATTGTCCCTTACCAGGGTATACCTATTTTTCATACTCCCTTAATTATAGATTACCTTACTATGTTTGAATGAATATAACATTTTACCCATGAAAAATTTAATTTCGAATTTAACATTTTTTCAATTTCATTTGAAGCAATTGGTATATTACAATTGTTTAACAAGGAAATCTTCTAATAAAGTTATAGCAAATCCTACTTAAACTACTGATTGTTCTGCAGGATAAATTAACTTCTCTTGAGATTGATGTCTCTCTAAAATCCAAAACCGACCTGATGTCCCCAAATTTATTTTGCAATGCATCCTGATTTAAAATTAAAATCATTTCAAAAGTCCTTTGCCAATACCACATTATACTTCTTTTGGTTTTGGTTCCAGAAATTACTTGCAAAAAATAATATGCGAAAATAAACATTCCCCCCAAAGAAAATTAATTAAACAACAAAATCAGACTCAAAGAAATAAACGGTGCTCAAATTAAATTAATTTTATTAAAATACCCACGTTCATAACAATATTCATAACATTGTCAGTTGTCAGTTCTAATCTATACGTCGACGTCAAAAAACCAGCAACATCAGCGACCTCTTACATTGGTCTTAGTTTTATTGGAGAGAGATAAATATATGTAAAGATCAAAGTAAAAGAGAAAGAAAGTCATATATGTAATTTAAATGAACCACCGAACAAAGGACCCTGCAATACTCTTATGGAAATTGGGTTTCTGTCAAATTGTTTGAATTTTTGATATGTTGTAGATTTTGTCATCCTGAACAAAAGTCTCCATAGGCACAAAGTGCCAAAAACAATATTTTGGCAGCTACGGAGCTGCCAAAGCTCCCCTGACCCGTTGCAAAACTATTTATTTTAAATACTATATACAGTTGTCAATGACTAAGAGGTCACTGGATTCAACCCTCATATCTGATTGGACAAATTAACCGTTGACAGCTGTCAATTCACTGTCAACGAGGAATATAAAAGTAAATATCCTCTTTTCACATTGAGAATTTGGGTTTTTGAGGTCACTGAATTCAATTCTCATGTCAGATTGGACATATTGACAGTTGACAGCTGTCAATTGACTGTCAACGAGGAATATAAAAGTAAATATCCTCTTTTCACATTGAGAATTTGGGTTTTTGAGGTCGCTGAATTCAATTCTCATGTCAGATTGGACAAATTGACAGTTGACAGCTGTTAATTGACTGTCAAAGAGGAATACAAAAGTAAATATCCTCTTTTCACATTGAGAGTTTGGGTTTTTGAGGTCGCTGAATTCAATTCTTATGTCAGATTGGACAAATTGACCGTTGACAGTTGTCAATTCACGGTCAACGAGGAATATAAAAGTAAATATCCTCTTTTCACATTGAGAGTTTATGTTAGCCAACTCGCTAAATTCAATTCTTTTTAGAATTGGAGAAAATGGTAGTTGACAAACTCAACAGCAAAAGAGAATATTTTGTTTTTTATTCTATTTTGACAGTGAATTGACAGCTGTTAACTGTCAATTTTTCCAATCTGGCATGAGAATTGAATTCAGCGACCTCAAGAACCCAAACTCTCAATGTCAACAGAGAATATTTACTTCTCTATTCTTCGTTGACAGTGAATTGACAGCTGTCAAGTGTCAATCTGTCCTATCTGACATGAGAATTGAATTCAGCGACCTTAAAAACCCAAACTCCCAATGTGAAAAAAGGAAATTTACTTTTATATTCCTCGTTGACAGTGAATTGACAGCTGTCAACGGTCAATTTGTCCAATCTGATATGAGAATTGAATTCAGCGACCTCAAAAACCCAAGCTCTCAATGTGAAAAGAGGATATTTACTTTTATATTCCTCGTTGACAGTGAATTGACAGCTGTCAACGGTCATGAGGGTTAAATCCAGTGACCTCAAAAACATTACCCCATATATTAGAATAATTAAAATATGCTTTTGACATCTGTAAATAGTATTGAAAATGAATAGTTTTGCAACGGGTCAGGGGAGCTTTGGCAGCTCCGTAGCTGCCAAAATATTCATTTTGGCACTTTGTGCTCATGGAGACTTTTGTTCAGGATGACAAGATCTACAACATATCAAAAATTCAGACAATTTGACAAAAACCCAATTTCCATAAGATTATTGCGAGGTCCTTTTCCTATTAAGTTACACGTCTCTATTGTCTCTGGTGTTACCAAATCTTTTGCTAATATTTTTCAGACGTTTCGAGAAGATATAAAAATAAAAACTAAAACCAAAATACCATCTCTCTCAAAAGTTCAAAATTAAAACAGACAAAAATTACATTGAATAAATCAAAGTCTTAAAATAGATAACTCACAAATTTATAGTGTTATAGTCAGCGAATTAGGATATCGCCGCCACTGGGGTCGACGGTACCACGTCTGCCCGTTGCAGTGTCCAGGACCAGGAGAGACTGGGGACTTGACTTTCGACCAGCCGAACGCGATGAAGTGATAGGCCTTATGCCCTTTAAAGATATTCTTTATTTTGTTCCTTAATTAATTACATTTCAAACATTGTTGACGAGATATTTAATAAAGCGTTATAAAACTATGTTAACACGTGTTTTATGAAGTGGCTATACAGGGTGTTATAGTATACAGGGTAATAAATTATTTTAAAACAATACTTTTAAAGTTAATTCTTTTAACTTATAACAATAGAGTTAAAATTATTGTATTTGTTATAACTACTAATAATCGTTAAAATTTAAAATAGCGCAATTTAGTTTTTGTATTATGCACTTTTGAAAAAAATGACATTTAAGTTTTTGTTTTCTTTTAAAATAAACAAATATAGCAAAAAGCTCTCTTTTTCGAAGCCTGATGTGCAGATGTATCAGAGAGATCAAGGTGAAGACATTGTCGATACAACCACAACCCTGACGAAATCTGGCTTGACATTCCGGTAAAATGTTACAGATATTTGTTCATTCAGTTAATCGATCCAGAATAATATTGGTAAAAATGTTTGAAGATGATTTTACCAAATCGATTCCTCTATAGTTTGAAGGGTCTTCAACTGTTCAAAAGTTTAAAATTAAAACAAACAAAAATTACATTACATAAATCAAGGTTCTAAAATAGATCACTTAAAAATGTATGGAGTTAAAATTATCGTATTGTAGCGAAATTTGGGCAGTTTTTTGTTATATACTTTTGAGAAAAATTGTATTTAGGTTTTTGTTTTCTTTAGACCGCCCCAACACGTCTGTAAAATACTGACAAGGGGTTTAATAGCACTGTGTATAATAATAAATTATAAAAATTATCATTTCCAGTTTTATAAGATATTAATATTATGTTATCTAGCCTCTCATAAATATCTTTTAAATAAATGTAGAAGAAAAATCGACGATATTAAATTCCGATATCTATTTAAATTCGAATTTAAAGAAAAACATGTTGAATATTATGAAAAACTTAACATATTTACTAATATATTTTATGCAAACTGAATTTTAAATTGTATATAAAAGGCTAATTGCTGATCCATATTAATCAGTTCATTTTATTAGTTATTTACTATGAAGTTCACCAAACTTTTATTCATTGGTAAGTTATTATATTTTTTGCAATAATAATTTTACATTTTGACAAATATTAATGGTAATAACATCAGAAATAATAATTAAATGATATTATTTATTTTACAGGGTGATTCAATAAAGGTGGGGACCGGCGTTATATCGAGAACCGTTTATTTGTTTAAAGAAAAAACATATTTAAACAAACAGACAAACAAACTTTTAACTAGTCGCTAGGTGGCGCAATATATGATTTAAAAAATGTAATTTCATTATTTTAAATCTCTGAAAGCAATCCTGTTTTGTATATAGTTTTGGACGTTCCACAGGGGTCATTATCCAGTCCACTTTAATTTGTTATCTATGCCTTACAATTATTACAACTTGCATTAATAATCTGCCAAATGCATACCTAGGTTAATGTACAATTACTTTAGCTTGTAGCAAAATTATTGATTTACTTTAACAAGGCCTGAATTTTAAAAAGTACTGTTTGGAATTAAATCGATCTAAATATGTTGCTAGAAATCGTGCTATCAGAAATGTTAATATTGTCCTTAATAATGATGCTTCAGTGTTGCATTCTTTGGAAAAATAGTTGATTTCATTCTCTCGGGACAAAACGATAGATCTCTTAGATACCTTGCATTCATGAACCAATAAAACAAAAAATTGATTTTATAGATAGTAACTTTTGTTAATGTGGATTAATACCTATAGTAATGTACAGTTAAACGAAAAATATTGTGAGAAAATATTATTTATTGAAAGACATATAAAAACTATTTATCAGTAAAACTTCACTTTATATAATCCAAGTACGCTAAATATACTGGGCCAGTGGCGGTTTGACCGTAAGGGCACTTGGGCACGTGCTCTAGTATAATAAACAAAAAAAATAACTTACATATTTTATATTTTCCTCAATGCCCTATTATTATTTTACATAATATTCAGCGCAAACCGCGTTGGCACGACACTGGACGACCGGGCTTTAAGCGACGTTCCGAGAATTCCGAAATTAAGTGGAATATGGGTACAGGGCAGAGTAAATGTGTGCCTCTGTTGTTTTCTCTCTCATTGTGATGCGAAAACCAAGGAGACGACAATATCGCTTAGCAAGAGATAAACACATGCGATGTATTATACGTCACAAGCCGGGCGCTATCCTCATTGTGACGTGCTGTATCCATGGCACAGATTACCTAGACCCAGGGTTGCCAATCGTACGGTAATTACCGTATTTGTACGGTAATTTCCATTAATGTACGGTATACGGTCCAAAGTGATTACCGTACATAAAAGTACGGTATTTACATAAAACGTACGGTAAACGTACGGTATTTTGAACAGAACTAACAAAGACTTTGAGTTGTGTAAGGACTAATTCCACTAAGGTTGCCATCTGTCCTTTTTTGAAAAGGACAGTCTTTTTTTCAAGCAAAATGTCCTTGCTACTTTTCAAAGCTTAAAATGTCCTTTTTGACGGCGCATGTCCTGTTTTACTCTTCGATATCTTTGAAAGGGGAAAGGGACCTGGCTTGTACAAAAATATACAAGCTGAGAAGCTTTTTAGAAGCTCAGTAGAAGGACGAGGGCTTTTTTGTTACACATTAGTCGACCTTTTTTTTTAGTAGAAGAAGGTGGCAACCCTAGATTCCACCGTTGTGTTAAACGAAGTTTAAATCACTAAGGACCGATTCCACCGTTGTGTTAAACGGAGATTAAAATGACGTTGTATGTAAAAATGTCATTTTAAACTTCGTTTAACATAACGGTGGAATCGGTCCTAAATGATGAATAAAATGACATTGTCTAATCTAATGTAAAAATGCCATTTAATTTTTTTTTACAGCACATGTTCTTTAAAAGGACCTGTTCTTCTGTTTTTTGAACAAAAATAAGCTTTTTTTGAAGCTAGGTAGAAGGACTAGAGATTGATTAAAATATGATGAGGATCTTTTTTTGTTTTTTAGAAGCCCAACAAAAATATTGAACACAATATAGATTTTGTACAAAATAAAAGTGTACGGTAGTGGGAGGCCATGTACGGTAATATGAATTGAGCGGTACGGTAAATAAAATTTTAAAAGTTGGCAACCTTGCCTAGACCAGATACGAATGCACGCAGCGGCATCTTTACCGGCTCCTTCACAAAGGCGATGCCGGTTTCGGCTTAAGGTACGAGTTTGTTGGACCATGATAATTATTTATTGTGATTACGAAAAAACGTAAGTTGGACCATTGGAATAGTTAAGAAATAAAACTACAAAGAAAAATAACTTTTGTTTTATAAAGCAGTCAATAATATGATGAAAAAAAAATCAATAATATTTATAAATGGGACAAAATGTAATGATTTTTTGATTAAATAGTTAAATGCATTTTGAATAGTCACGTTTAGCTGTTTAGCTCCCTGTAGTCACATTCAGAAATCGTTATTGCCCCAACTGAGTGTTTTGAAATATATTTAATTTTTATTAAACGGAGAACTTGTTTTCCTTAGGGAAAAACGAATTCCGGGATTCCTTTCCAGTATGTGCCCCACTGCCGCTAGTGCCCACGAGTCGCCACTGTACTGAGCCATTAAAATTACTGTAATATAATATACATTAACAACTTTCATTTCATATTGATACATTGACACGATTTTCAGGAAATTGTTTTGTCTAAATTTAAGCAAATAAAACGTATCTGCAGTACTTCTCAATACCTGGCAAAATCTAGTATATTTGTTTAAATTTCATTAGATTATTTACCCACACTTATCGAACTTACAACAAATACACCTTTAAACAGGAATATATTATTTAATTATTTTATAATTTATTTGAATTATTTATTTTATAATTTTTATAAATATTTAAAATTTATTTGAAAAATGACATTACTAATGGTTATTTATTTGTTATTATAGGTTTGACTGGAATTACTTTATTCCTAGAAGGTATTTCTGCAAAACCTAGAGAAAAACGACAAAGAGCTGCAGAAAATGAACCAGCATCCCCGGGGCTACCTCAAATTCCAAATACTCCTTATATGCCTAATAGTCCTTATAATCTTTGTATAACAAATAGTCCTTATATGCCAGGAAATCCTTATATTCCAGGTATTCCCTATATGCCAGATAGTCCTTATATGCCAGTTAGTCCTTATATGCCAGTTAGTCCTTATATGCCAGATACCCCCTATATCCCAGGTACTCCTTACATTCCTTGTATTTCTTACATATCACGTACTCCTTATATGCCAGGTGCACCATATATTCCAGGACAACCTCAAATCCCAGGTTTTTCCTATATGCCGAGACAATCTCAAATCCCAGGTGAACCTAATATACCGGAACAATCTCAAATTCCAAGTTATCCTAATCTTCCAGTACAACCTCAAATCCTAGGTAATCCTAATATACCAGTACAATCTCAAATCCTAGGTAATCCTAATTTACCGGGACAACCTCAAATCCCAGGTTATCCTAATATACCGCGACAATATGAAATTCCAGGTAATTTTATTATACCGAGACAATATCAAATCCCAGGTTATCCTAATATACCGGGACAACCTCAAATCCCAGTTAATCCTAATATATCGGAACAAATTCCAGGCAATCCTTATATACCGGGACAATCTCAAATAATAGGAAATCCTAATATACAGGGACTTCCTCAAAACGCAGGTAATCATAATATGCCAGGACAATTTCAAATCCCAGGTAATCCTAATAAACCGAGACAATATCAAATTCCCGGCAATTATAATATACTGAAACAACCTCAAATCCCAGGTAATCCTACTATACCGATTCATCCTCAAATTCCCGGTAATACTAATATTCCAGAACAATCTCAAATCCCAGGTTATCCTAATATACCAGGACAACCTCAAACCCAAGGTAATCCTAATATACCAGAACAACCTCAAATCCCTGGTAATCACAATATACCGGGACAATATCAAATCACAGGGTATCCTAATATACCAGGACAACTAAAAATCCCAAGTAATTCTAATATACCGGGACAATCTCAAATCATAGATAATTCTAATATACCGGGACAACCTCAAATCCCAGGTAATCCTAATATACCGGTTCATCCTCAAATCCCAGGTAATACTAATATTCCAAAACAATCTCAAATCCCACGTAATCTTAATATACCAGGACAACTTCAAATCCAAGGTAATCCTAATATACCAGGGCAACCTCACATCCCAGGTAATTCTAATATACCGGAACAATCTCAAATACCAGCTAGTCCTAATATGCCGGGACAATCTCAAATTCCAGGTAATCCTAATATGCCGGGAAAACCTCAAATACCAGGTCTTCCCAATTGGCAGGTACAACCTGAAATTCCAGGTAATTCTTATATACCGGGACAACCACAATTTCCCGGTAATCCTTACTTACCGGGACAATCTCAAATCCCAGGTCTTCCTTATATTCCCGTTCTACTTCCCGGAATACCACAAAGTCCAGGTACACTTTATATTCCAAATAAAATCAATAAGTAATATTGTCAATTTCTTAGTTCATTGAAGAACAAGTCAAGGACAACCCGTTCTTTTTCAGTTATTTGTTGAGTACGAATAAATAAAAACTTGTTTAAAGAACTTAAAAAGTATTTAATAAATGTTTTACTTTTGATGTCATAATCGATGTTATTATTTAGGTAATTGAACAAAAAACAAGTATACAGGGTAGAAGGTAATATCTAGAAAAAAGTTAGACGTTTAACAATAAACTTATTATATATTAAAAATATTAATTCACTTTTATTGCTCTAGTAATGAAAAAATTCCAAATATTTGTAAAGCATTACATTTTGTTGATAAAGTATTATGTGAGGGACCAGTCTAATAAAATTCCTACCAATGACTAATACTTATTATAATATAATAATCTGTTATACTTTTTTTATATATAATATTGTTATTAATTTCCAATACTTCTAATAATTTCTAATATTGTTGTACATTTTAAATGCTGTTATTTATCACTAGTAATATTATTCATTTTAAATACTGTAAGTATAAGGTTCGTTCCAACAGCTCAGTTCTGATGTGTCTCTGACTCGTACATGAATGCATTCGTAAACTAACCACTGCGCATGTCAGTAAGATGTACGTCCATTTTTGTGTCAGAGAATTGTACTTGTTGGAACCAAAGAAGTAGAGAGGGTAGAACGATAAGGTACCGTCTGCGCATCCATCACGAGTGTAGAAATTATGCGTGATTCAGCCTTCCACTCTTACACACGTAAATGATAAGGAGAGGTTGCCCTAAAGCACTGTAAACAAATTCCAGGATCGACTTTATTCAGCGATTATGTTCATGTTCAGCTCTGTTTTTTGTTTGTGTTTTGGCTGTTGTAAGCTTTTTTGGCGTCAATTCTTTGTTATCTTGCTTATATTTATGATTTTTTATGCTTTTATTCCGATTTAGTATTAAATTATACTTGTTAATTATTTTTCGATGCACTATTTTATAATTGTTGCACAAAATGTTGTTAAACCGTCCCTGAATTTTGTTTACAAAATGTGCAAAACGAAATTGTGCATAGTGTCCAGACTTTTTCATTGACAGTTATCATTCTACCCCTCTCCACTTCATTGGTTGGAACGCATAGATATTATAAAGCAATGGAACAAAATAATGACGTGTTAGGTAAATTATGTATTTTTTTAAATAATATTTGTCAACATAATATATTTTTTTAGCTGTCCCAAACGAATTGTCTGAATTTATTATTATTCAGGGACCTAACCTAAATACTTATGAGGTGGACAGATACATTAAATGGACTACAAACGCAACAAAATTGTTTTTAGATTTATATAAAGAAAACAGAGACAAAGTGGGGAGTTTTAAAATAAAAACCATTAAAATAATGTGGCAACAAATTGCTGATAAGTTGCAAAATTTGTTAAAAATAAAAGTAAGTCCAAGCCAGTGCGAAAATCGTTGGCGAGTCTTGGAACGAGGATATAAAAAATACGTTGATGATCAGTCGTCCACTGGCAGAGGAAAAACATTTTTTGAATATGAAGAGGAAATGAATTGTATTTTGGGTAAAAAAAAAATGTATTTCCTGAACTTTTACTTGAGGCAGACACGCTGGTTAATGAGCCTTTGTGTTCAAAAAATATTAACATAATAGAGAAAGAAAATATAAATAGGGCTGACGAATCGGAAAAAAGACGTATAGGTTTTGCCGAAACTAAAATAGTTTCAACACAAAATAAAAAACTACGGAAAAGAAGGTCTACAGTGTTAGAAACTATGTTGAATAAAAAAAAAAAAAATATTATGATGAGAGACTTGCAATCGAGAAAGAAAAAGTTGAACAAATGAAAATAAGAAATGAATTAATAAAAGAAAGAAATGTGATATTAAAAGAAAAAAAGTGCATTTGTCATGATGTTTAGGTTGTCTATTATGTTTGTATATTTTGAAATTTCAATTTTTGTGTTTGTAGTTTAAAATAGTCTAAGAGGTGGTATCCTCCAGCTGGAATTTTGTAAAGTGGGAGGAAGTGTCATCTGCAAGGATTTAGTTTAGAACCCCTGCGAAGGAAAATGAGACGTCTTATGCTACAGTTGTATGTACTAATGGTGTCATCGATTTTTTTAATAATAGAACATATTTTTCTCTTAATTTTTTAATTCCCCAGTAATAGACGATTACAAAAATGTTTGTAAAACTTATATAGACCAGAGTGTCAGAGGAATTTAGAAACTGACTTGGTTATTGCCAGGAAGTCAATGGCATGTACTTTTAACATTTAATTTAATTTTGAAATGTATTCTATTAATTATTTAAATTAATAAAAATTGAAAATGTATTAATCAATAAAATTTTAGATTCAAAATTTCTAATATAACATTTGTCTCGAGTTCAGAAACCAATGACTGGACTATAAGTATTACATACACTTTTGTAATCGTCTATTGAGGAATTTTAAAATGAAAAGAAAATGTTCTATTTAAAAGAAAATCGATGACGTCATTAGTACATCCAATTGTAACGTAAGACGCTCAGTAGAAAATAACAATTGACCTGTGAAAGCATTTTGTTAGAAAAATTCCAACCTATACCTACGTCCTTACTGTATAAGTAAAAAGTTTAAAGCTAATTGAGCAGACAGAGTAAAATAATTTATTGTTAAGTTCATGAGTTCAAATAAATACTTTTAGTTTTTGTTTATATGTCACTAGTTTTGTTTGGATTTAATAAAAAGCTGTTTTTAGTAACCAATTCATTTTATTTAAATATCTAAAATTTCAACAATAAAGTTTCTAATATTTTCAGCATTTCTGTCATCTTCAGCTTTTCTATTAATTTGATCTTCGTTCATACCTTCAGGAATATCGCCTAAATCAATTCCATCATTTAGGGCTATGTTATGCAGAACACATGCTGCTCGAATCATATGAACTATAAATCGTATGTCCTTGATCTTAACATGGTACATTTGTCGGAATTTTTATTTCAGCATTCCAAAACAATGCTCTATCTTGTATCGATTTCTGGCAAGTTTGACGTTGTAATATATCTGCCTGTCTGGTAATTGTCCCCTATCTCTAAAAGTAGTTAACACATGTCGAGTCAATGGATATCCACTGCCAACAAAAAATAATTTCCACACTTTTGCTCTAATGTTCGATACAAGGTAGAGTTTTTAAAAACTCTGCTGTCATGTACCGAACCAGGATATCCCACAAGAACATCAATAATTTTCTTCTGGTGGTCACATACTGCCTGCATCTAAAAAGATGATCACAAAATAGAAATAACCATACCTATTTTTGAAATTATTAACTAATATGTATTGAGTAATATCCTTTCCTATTGATGTAGGAGTCACTGTCAACATCAGGCTTATCAATTTTAATGTGACATCCGTCGATTGCGCCGATGACCCTTGGAAATCCATTGGCTTGAAAATGTTCCTCACTTATCATTTTTTCTTCATTCGTCGGCCACTTAATTATTTGGGGCGACATATTACTTAAACAAAATATTACTCGTCGTAAAATTCTGTATTATGAACTTATAGTAATGTTAAACATATCAGCAACATCTCGAAAACTAACAGTTTGGTGACCCATGTACCATAGTGTGAGAAGAACCTAAAATTATTAAAATTTACTTAAAGCAAGTATATTTATCACCACCTTACTTGTTCAGTAGCTGTCGTTTTTCCAAAATGCCCGGACTGTGTTTTATAAAACTGACTTGCTTCAAATGAATTTACAATATCTTGTAATGCATTACGACTCACACGGAAATGTTCAAAAAACGTATTATCGTCATAATTTGGGATGGTTTCCTCTAACAAAAAAAAATAATCACCTTACCATTTAAAAAATTATATGATACATACCAAGAAAATTTGTATTTTTTGTTCGATGTGACATTAAAATATCTTCCTCATCAGACGAATAGGATATTTCCGAATTATATTCACTTTCAATATCACTCATTTTCTTATCTTTTGAAAAATATATTTATGTACGATTTTTAAAATTTCAAATGTCGATTTTTATTACAAATACCTAGTTACAAAAGAAAAATGTACTACACAACCTAACTTCAATTTAAAGAAATACGAGTACAAAGCCAACTAATCTAACTTAACTTAAATCCAAAACATTTAAAAATGGCACGAACGAGAAATGACCCAAAAGCGCATGTGCTGATTATTTGTACAAGCGATAAACCTCTGATAGATTTGACAATCCTCTGACACATTCATGTACGAATCAGAAAATTTGTTGGAACGTTTTACTGACAGTTCATCGGATTATCCGTGGCTCTGTAGGAACGGACTATTTTCAATGCGCATGAATCTGACGTCCATCTGATAATCAGAAGACCTGTTGGAACAAACCTATATGAAATAGAAATTCTTTACTCGTATTAGTATCAATAAAATAATAATATGGGCGACTAGACGTATATCATGTCTAGAGGGCGGTTCCACGTAGAAATGTCCTCCTTGAGGTTTAAATGCTTAACAGGCATACCTATTAACAAAAAGTCTTGCTACCAGATTTGAATGATTTTTAGAAAACCAATTTTCATGTTTTACAAAAAAATTAATTATTTTTTATTTGTACTGTAAAGTCGGGTGACTTTGACTCACTGTCAAAATTTAAACCTAGTTTCAATTGTTAAATAAAAGCAAATCCAAATTCGCATTTTCGTCATAATTTAGTCTTTAGTTATATTTTAAAAATTATTAAGAAAAATATCTCAAATGGTCCAACTTTTCAAATAAAAAATAAAAAAGGGGCGTGTAAAGCCACCCGCAGGTAGAGGGTGACTTTGACTCACCCATCATTTTACATTGTTTTCTCTATAATATTTCTTGCTGTTTTAAAGCCACCCATCACAGTTGATAGTAAAACACATTTTATCATTAAAAAAATATTGTTTTTGCTTACGGTAAAGATAATAACAAAAAATATTACAAATTTTATATCACCTTTCAATTTCGATTATTTTGTAATGAGTTAAATTTTTATACTACTAAAAGCATAAGCGTTCAATTGCCTTTAAATAAAGTGTTTTGGGTAGTTTTAATACCTTACAGTGTAACCAGCGTGAGTTATATTTTAAAAATAGGATGTATAATTTTTTTGTGAACAAAAAGTCACCCGACTTTATCGTACACAAATACCATTATTTCCTTTCCCCCGAACTGTAGCATTTAAGTATACATTTTTAATTACATGAAGAATTTTAGAAGATACTCCAATGTTGAATAGTTTCTATTAGAGTAAAAGGTGATTAATTGAGTCGAAAGCCCTCGGGAAATCAGCAAATATAGCAAAAAAACTGTCTTTTTCGAAGCCTGATGTGCAAACGTATCAGAGAGATCAAGGTGAAGACATTGTCGATACAACCACAACCCTGCCGAAATCTTGCTTGACATTCAGGTAAAATGTTATCTGTCCATTTAGTTAATCGATCCAGAATAATGTTGGTAAAAATTTCTTTTACTTGTACTTTTACTTATAACGACCGCAGTACACTGTAGGGCGATGAGTAACATTCCACTTCTTTCTCTATCTGTACGTTTTCTATGATAGCCGCAGGGTGCTGGGTAACATTGCTCCCTCCTCTCTAGTTATTCGCCCGAATAACTTGATTACTGGGACCTAGTTGGAACTAATGGAAAGGATCTGAACCATGGTATGGAGCTATCTTCCCAATGTGAATTATGTTGAATTTACTTCCCGCTGACAGTTGAATGCGGCAGATCAGGTTGTTGATTTTCCTTAAGGACGGGGTAGGAGCCTTCCTAGTTCCGTTGCGATTTCTGACGAAGTCCTCCTCGCTGTTTGGGATTGCACAGCCATACCTTGTCGCCTCTCTTAAAATGTGTATCTGTGGAAGGCCTGTTCATTCTAGCTTCTGCTTTATCGGTGTGGATTTTCAGTCGTTCCCGTGCAAATCCATAGACCTTTGTTCTGCCACTGCATAGATCACATTTTTTACACCAATCCGCTACATTCCGTCGGCAATTGACCCAATAAAATCTTTCCCGAACTCGTGCCAGTGTCCTTTTAGTATCAAAGTGTCCTCCTGAACGGCTGCTATGAAGCTCTTCCAATACTTTTCTCACCTGTGACCTCGGCAGTATCACTTGGCGGACTACGTGTACTCCATGTACTTCCGGTGTAATAGGCCATCGTGAAGCTACAGGAAATCCCACTGGGTCCAGTAGCTTTTTATAGTTCTACTGTATTTGGCTATCTCTTGCCAAGTAGGTGTGACTTTATTTTTAAGCCATTCTCGGACAACCTTTAAGTCATTGTCTTTCTTCTGTCCCTGTCTCAGACTTTCAAGGGTGATTTCTTCTTCGTCGCCCTCTGGCTTGATGGTAATGGCCTAAAGAGTAACTTTATCAACCGGTTCTTCTCGTTCTTCGAGCCTTTTACCATACCAGCACTGTTCCTCTAAACGGGGTTGCCCGAAGAGAATGTCTGCGTTGCTATGGAGACCTCCTCGATGCTCTACTTTCTGGTTATTGTTAGAGAGCCGGCTCGGTGTGGGTGATTGGCTTCTTCGGGACGCATAGCTGCTGTAATTAATTCTTGTTGGTCTTAGTGATGGACTTGGAAAGACTGATCTATATGATGACATTTCCAGACATTACTGGAATATTCTATCTTCTTTTACTTGTACTTTTACTTATAACGACCGCAGTGCACTGTACGACGATGAGTAACATTCCACTTCTTTCTCTATCTGTACGTTTCTTATGATAGCTGCAGGCTACTACAGGGTGCTGCGTAACAATATTCTATTTACGCGGGAGGTTATTGTAAAACTCATACGGTAGTCCATCAGTTCCGGGAGAATGTTTGTTTGAAAAAGCAAAATACCTATTTTCTCAAAAGTTCAAAATTAATACAAACAAAAATTACATTGCATAAATCAAGGTCCTAAAATGTATGGAGTTAAAATTATCGTATTTGTTGTAACTGCCCATAATCGCTTAATTTTAAAATTGCAAAATTTGGGCAGTTTTTTGTTATATACTTTTGAGAAAAATTGTATTTAGGATTTTGTTTTCTTTAGACCGCCCCAACATATCTGTAAAATACTGGCAAGGGGTTTAATAACACCGTGTATAATATGAAATTATTAACATTATCATTTCCAGTTTTATAATCTAGTAATATTATGTTATCTAGCCTCATAAATATCGTATAAATAAATGTAGAAAAAAACTCGTCGATATTAAATTTCGATATCTATTTAAATTCGAATTTAAAGACAGAAATGTTGAATATTATGAAACCTTAACATATTAACTAATATATTTTATGCAAACGGAATTTTAAATTATATATAAAAGGCCAATTGCTGATCCATATTAATCAATTCCTTTTATTATAGTTATTTACTATGAAGTTCACTAAACTTTTATTTATTGGTAAGTTATTATTTTTTTTTGCAATAAATAATTCTATATTTTGACAAATAATGCTAATAATATCAGAAATAATGTTTAAATATTATTATTTATTTTACAGGGTGATTTAATAAGGGTGGGGACCGGCGTTTTATCGAGAACTTTTTGTTTGTTTAGAGAAAAAAATATTTAAACAAACAAACAAACTTGTAACTAGTCGCTAGGTGGTGCTATATATCCTTTAAAAAATGTAATTTCAATATTTTAAATCTCTAGAATTAATCCAGTTCTGTAAACATTCTTGGACGTTCCACAGGGGTCATTATCCAGTCCACTTTAATTTGTTATCTATACCTCACAATTATTAACACTTGTTAATTTACTATAACTTTAGCTTGTAGCAAAATTAATGATTTACTTTAACAAGAAAGAAATTTAAAAGTACTGTTTGGAATTAAATCAATCTAAATATATCGCTAGAAATCGTGCTATCAACATTGTTAATATTTTCCTAAATAATGATAATTTAGAGCATTCTTCTATAAAAAAAGTTAGTTTTTATCCTCTTTGGACAAAACGACAGAACTATTATATAACTTGCTCTTTGATAGTAAGAGGTCCGGCATCCAATTTTGATTCACCGACCTAGGATGGTCGTTACAAAAATCAGCGATGTCACAGAAGGTTTAGAATTTCAAACATTTTCAATACAAAAGTCAACAACTTAGCTATTTAACTTTAGTTAGTTTGCGAAACTAACCTTTTTTTTTATTTCTGATAGAGAAGTATATTTTTGATGTTGGTTATTGGTCATCAAAATTTAAAATGGAAATGATAGTCATCTGTCTAGAGCTTCAATTTTAATTTTAAAACAATAATTATTTAAATTATTTAAGTCAAAAGAGTATTTAATTGTTTTTATGTATTTTTTCTAAATGTCACCATTTTTTATTATTTTAGTGGGTACCAAATTTTTGCCAGTAGGTATGAATTACTTAAGGCATAACCATCTTAATGTGTATTCTTTACTTTTAAAAGAGCTTCCTATATACATAAAAGTTACTTGTACCAATTGCTTTATTTTTAAAGGAATCTCTGTAATAGGAGTGACAGTGGTGATAATCTAAAACTCTTAAATGCGCGAGTCGAAGGTTTGAATTCCACTAGACCACTGATGAAGCAATAATAGAAATAACTGATTCTTTAGACAGCAACTTTCACTTTATATTGATATTAAAAACACGATTTTCAGAAAATTGTTCTGTCTAAATTTAAGCCAATTAAACGTATCTGCAGTACTTCTCAATACCCATTAAAATCTAGTATTTTTAAGTTTCATTAGATTATTTACCTACACATATCGAACATCCAATAAATACACCATCTAAACAAGAATATATTATTTAATTATCTTATATTTTATTTGAATTATTTATTTTATAAATATTTTAAATTTATTTGACGTTAAATGACATTAACAATGGTTATTTCTTTGTTGTTATAGGTTTGATTGAAATTATCTTTTTCCTGGAAGATATTTCTGCAAAACCTAGAGCAAAACGGCAGATGGCTGCAGAAAATGGACATGCATCTCCAGGGTTACCTCAAATCCCAGGTGCTCCTTACATGCCAGATAGTCCTTATATGCCAGATAGTCCTTATATGCCGGACAGTCCTGATATGCCAGATAGTCCTAATATACCAGATAGTCCTGATATGCCAGATAGTCCATGTCCTTACATGCCATATGGTCCTTATATACCAGATAGTTCATGTCCTTATATGCCATATGGTCCTTATATACCAGATAGTTCATGTCCTTATATACCATATGGTCCTTATATACCAAATAATCCTAATATTCCAGATAGTCCTGATATGCAAGATAGTCCTGATATGCCAGATAGTCCTGATATGCCAGATAGTCCTGATATGCCAGATAGTCCTGATATGCCAGATGCTCCATGTCCCTATATGCCAGATGGTCCTTATATGCCAAATAGTCCTAATATAACAGATAGTCCAATTATGTCAGATTGCTCTTGTATGCCAGAGAGTCCCTATTTGCCAGATATTCCTTATATACCAGGTACTCCTTATATACCAGGTATTCCATATATACCAGGTACTCCTTATATACCAGATACACCTGAAACGCCAGGTACACCTGAAACGCCAGATACTCCTTATATGCCAGACTTTCCCTATATTCCAGGACAACCTCAAATCTCAGGTATTCCTAATATGCCGGGACAATCTCAAATACCAGGTTATCCTAATATACCGAGACAACCTCAAATCCCAGGTAATCCTAATATACCGGGACAACCTCAAACTCCAGGACAACCTCAAATCCCAGTTAATCTTAACATACCAGGACAATCTCAAATCCCAGGTAATTCTAATATACCGGGACAACCTCAAATCCCAGGTAATCCTAATATACCAGGACAACCTCAAATTCCAGGTAATCCTAACATACCAGGACAACCTCAAATCCCAAGTAATCCTAATATACCGGGACAATCTCAAATCCCAGGTAATCCTAACATACCAGGACAACCTCAAATCCCAGGTAATTCTAATATACCGGGACAACCTCAAATCCCAGGTAATCCTAATATAACAGGACAACCTCAAATTCCAGGTAATCCTAACATACCACGACAACCTCAAATCCCAGTTAATCCTAACATACCAGGACAATCTCAAATTCCAGGTAATTCTAATATACCAGGACGACCTCAAATCCCAGGTAATCCTAGTATACCAGGACAACCTCAAATTCCAGGTAATCCTAACATACCAGGACAACCTCAAATCCCAGGTAATTCTAATATACCGGGACAACCTCAAATCCCAGGTAATCCTAATATATCAGGACAACCTCAAATTCCAGGTAATCCGAACATACCAGGACAACCTCAAATGCCAGGTAATTCTAATATACCAGGACAACCTCAAATCCCAGGTAATCCTAATATACCAGGACAACCTCAAATTCCAGGCAATCCTAACATACCAGGACAACCTCAAATCCCAGAAAATTCTAATATACCGGGACAACCTCAAATCCCAGGTAATCCCAATATACCAGGACAACCTCAAATTCCAGGTAATCGTAATATACCAAGACAACCTCAAATCCCAGGTAATTCGAATATACCGGGACAACCTCAAATCCCAGGTAATCCTAATATACCAGGACAACCTCAAATCCCAGGTAATTCTAATATACCGGGACAACCTCAAATCCCTGGTAATCCTAATATACCAGGACAACCTCAAATCCCTGGTAATCCTAATATACCAGGACAACCTCAAATTCCAGGTAATCCTAACATACCAGGACAACCTCAAATCCCAGGTAATTCTAATATACCGAGACAACCTCAAATCCCAGGTAATCCTAATATACCAGGACAACCTCAAATTCCAGGTAATCGTAACATACCAGGACAACCTCAAATCCCAGGTAATTCTAATATACCGGGACAACCTCAAATCCCAGGTAATCCTAATATACCTGGACAACCTAAAATTCCAGGTAATCCTAACATACCAGGACAACCTCAAATTCCAGTTAATCCTAACATACCAGGACAATCTCAAATCCCAGGTAATTCTAATATACCGGGACAATCTCAAATCCACGGTAATCCTAATATACCAGGACAACCTCAAATCCCAGGTAATCCTAACATACCAGGACAACCTCAAATCCCAGGTAATTCGAATATACCGGGACTACCTCAAATCCCAGGTAATCCTAATATGCCAGGACAACCTCAAATCCCAGGTAATTCTAATATACCGGGACAACTTCAAATCCCAGGTAATCCTAATATACCAGGACAACCTCAAATCCCAGGTAATCCTAATATACCAGGACAACCTCAAATCCCAGGTAATTCTAATATACCGGGACAACCTCAAATCCCAGGTAATCCTAATATACCAGGACAACCTCAAATTCCAGGTAATCCTAACATACCAGGTCAACCTCAAATTCCAGTTAATCCCAACATACCAGGACAATCTCAAATCCCAGGTAATTCTAATATATCGGGACAACCTCAAATCCCAGGTAATCCTAACATACCAGGACAACCTCAAATTTCAGGTAATTCGAATATACCGGGACTACCTCAAATCCCAGGTAATCCTAATATACCAAGACAACCTCAAATCCCAGGTAATTCTAATATACTGGGACAACCTCAAATCCCAGGTAATCCTAATATACCAGGACAACCTCAAATTCCAGGTAATCCTAACATACCAGGATAACCTCAATTCCCAGTTAATTCTAATATACCGGGACAACCTCAAATCCCAGGTAATCCTAATATACCAGGACAACCTCAAATTCCAGGTAATCCTAACATACCAGGTCAACCTCAAATTCCAGTTAATCCCAACATACCAGGACAATCTCAAATCCCAGGTAATTCTAATATATCGGGACAACCTCTAATCCCAGGTAATCCTAATATACCAGGACAACCTCAAATCCCAGGTAATCCTAACATACCAGGACAACCTCAAATCCCAGGTAATTCGAATATACCGGGACTACCTCAAATCCCAGGTAATCCTAATATACCAAGACAACCCCAAATCCCAGGTAATTCTAATATACCGGGACAATTTCAAATCCCAGGTAATCCTAATATACCAGGACAACCTCAAATCCCAGGTTATCCTAATATACCAGGACAACCTCAAATCCCAGGTAATCCTAACATACCAGGACAACCTCAAATCCCAGGTAATTCGAATATACCGGGACTACCTCAAATCTTAGGTAATCCTAATATACCAAGACAACCCCAAATCCCAGGTAATTCTAATATACCGGGACAATTTCAAATCCCAGGTAATCCTAATATACCAGGACAACCTCAAATCCCAGGTAATCCTAATATACCAGGACAACCTCAAATCCCAGGTAATCCTAACATATCAGGACAACCTCAAATCCCAGGTAATTCGAATATACCGGGACTACCTCAAATCCCAGGTAATCCTAATATACCAAGACAACCCCAAATCCCAGGTAATTTTAATATACCGGGACAATTTCAAATCCCAGGTAATCCTAATATACCAGGACAACCTCAAATCCCAGGTAATCCTAATATACCAGGACAACCTCAAATTCCAGGTAATCCTAACATACCAGGACAAACTCAAATCCCAGGTAATTCTAATATACCAGGACATCCCCAAATCCCAGGTAATCCTAATATACCAGGACAACCTCAAATCCCAGGTAATTTGAATATACCGGGACAACCTCAAATCCCAGTTAATCCTAACATACCAGGACAATCTCAAATTCCAGGTAATTCTAATATACCGGGACAATCTCAAATCCCAGGTAATCCTAATATACCGGGACAACCTCAAATCCCAGCTAATCCTAACATACCAGGACAACCTCAAATTCCAGGTAATCCTAATATACCTGGACAACCTCAAATCCCAGTTAATTCGAATAAACCGGGACAACCTCAAATCACAGGTTATCCTAATATACCAGGACAACCTCAAATCCCAGGTAAATCTAATATACCGGGACAACCTCAAATCCCAGGTTATCCTAATATACCAGGACAACCTCAAATCCCGAGTAATTCTAATATACCGGGACAACCTCAAATCCCTGGTAATCCTAATATACCAGGACAACCTCAAATCCCAGGTAATCCTAACATACCAGGACAACCTCAAATCCCAGGTAATTCTAATATACCGAGACAACCTCAAATCCCAGGTAATCCTAATATACCAGGACAACCTCAAATTCCAGGTAATCCTAACATACCAGGACAACCTCAAATCCCAGGTAATTCTAATATACCGAGACAACCTCAAATCCCAGGTAATCCTAATATACCAGGACAACCTCAAATTCCAGGTAATCGTAACATACCAGGACAACCTCAAATCCCAGGTAATTCTAATATACCGGGACAACCTCAAATCCCAGGTAATCCTAATATACCTGGACAACCTAAAATTCCAGGTAATCCTAACATACCAGGTCAACCTCAAATTCCAGTTAATCCTAACATACCAGGACAATCTCAAATCCCAGGTAATTCGAATATACCGGGACAACCTCAAATCCCAGTTAATCCTAACATACCAGGACAATCTCAAATTCTAGGTAATTCTAATATACCGGGACAATCTCAAATCCCAGGTAATCCTAATATACCGGGACAACCTCAAATCCCAGCTAATCCTAACATACCAGGACAACCTCAAATTCCAGGTAATCCTAATATACCTGGACAACCTCAAATCCCAGTTAATTCGAATATACCGGGACAACCTCAAATCCCAGGTTATCCTAATATACCAGGACAACCTCAAATCCCAGGTAAATCTAATATACCGGGACAACCTCAAATCCCAGGTTATCCTAATATACCAGGACAACCTCAAATCCCAGGTAATTCTAATATACCGGGACAACCTCAAATCCCTGGTAATCCTAATATACCAGGACAACCTCAAATCCCAGGTAATCCTAATATACCAGGACAACCTCAAATTCCAGGTAATCCTAACATACCAGGACAACCTCAAATCCCAGGTAATTCTAATATACCGAGACAACCTCAAATCCCAGGTAATCCTAATATACCAGGACAACCTCAAATTCCAGGTAATCGTAACATACCAGGACAACCTCAAATCCCAGGTAATTCTAATATACCGGGACAACCTCAAATCCCAGGTAATTCTAATATACCTGGACAACCTAAAATTCCAGGTAATCCTAACATACCAGGTCAACCTCAAATTCCAGTTAATCCTAACATACCAGGACAATCTCAAATCCCAGGTAATTCTAATATACCGGGACAACCTCAAATCCCCGGTAATCCTAATATACCAGGACAACCTCAAATCCCAGGTAATCCTAACATACCAGGACAACCTCAAATCCCAGGTAATTCGAATATACCAGGACTAGCTCAAATCCCAGGTAATCCTTATATGCCAGGACAACCTCAAATCCCAGGTAATTCTAATATACCGGGACAACCTCAAATCCCAGGTAATCCTAATATACCAGGACAACCTCAAATCCCAGGTTATCCTAATATACCAGGACAACTTCAAATCCCAGGTAATTCTAATATACCGGGAAAACCTCAAATCCCTGGTAATCCTAATATACCAGGACAACCTCAAATCCCAGGTAATCCTAATATACCAGGACAACCTCAAATTCCAGGTAATTCTAACATACCAGCACAACCTCAAATCCCAGGTAATTCTAATATACCAGGACAACCTCAAATCCCAGGTAATCCTAATATACCAGGACAACCTCAAATCCCAGGTAATTCGAATATACCGGGACAACCTCAAATCCCCGTTAATCCTAACATACCAGGACAATCTCAAATCCCAGGTAATTATAATATACCGGGACAATCTCAAATCCCAGGTAATCCTAATATACCGGGACAACCTCAAATCCCAGGTAATCCTAATATACCTGGACAACCTCAAATCTCAGGTAATTCGAATATACCGGGACAACCTCATATCCCAGGTAATCCTAATATACCAGGACAACCTCAAATTTCAGGTAATCCTAACATACCAGGACAACCTCAAATCCCAGTTAATCCTAACATACCAGGACAATCTCAAATCCCAGGTAATTCTCATATACCGGGACAACTTTAAATACCAGGTAATCCGAATATACCAGGACAACCTCAAATCCCAAGTTATCCTAATATACCGGGACAATCTCAAATCCCAGGTAATCCTAACATACCACAACCTCAAATCCCAGGTAATTCTAATATACCAAGACAACCTCAAATCCCAGGTAATCCTAATATACCAGGACAACCTTAAATTCCAGGTAATCCTAATATACCAGGACAACCTCAAATCCCAGTTAATCCTAACATACCAGGACAATATCAAATTCCAGGTAATTCTAATATACCGGGACAACCTCAAATCCCAGGTAATCCTAATATACCAGGACAACCTCAAATCCCAAGTAATCCTAATATACCGGGACAATCTCAAATCCCAGGTTATCCTAATTTACCGGGACAACCTCAAATTCCAGGTAATCCTAACATACCAGGACAACCTCAAATGCCAGGTAGTTCTAATATACCAGGACAACGTCAAATCCCAGGTAACCCTAATATACCGGGACAGTCTCAAATCCCAGGTAATCCTAATATACCAGGACTACCTTAAATTCCAGGTAATCCGAATATACCAGGACAACCTCAAATCCCAAGTTATCCTAATATACCGGGACAATCTCAAATCCCAGGTAATCGTTATATACCTGGACAACATTAAATTTCAGGTAATCCTAATATACCAGGACAACCTCAAATCCCAGTTAATCCTAACATACCAGGACAATATCAAATTCCAGGTAATTCTAATATACCGGGACAACCATAAATCCCAGGTTATCCTAATATACCAGGACAACCTCAAATCCCAAGTAATCCTAATATACCGGGACAATCTCAAATCCCAAGTTATCCTAATTTACCGGGTCAACCATAAATCCCAGGTAATCCTAACATACCAGGACAACCTCAAATCCTAGGTAACCCTAATATACCTGTACAGTCTCAAATCCCAGGTAATCCTAATATACCAGGACTACCTCAAATTCCAGGTAATCCTAATATGCCGGGACAGTCTTAAATATTAGGTACTTCAAATATGCCGGACAATCTCAAATGCCAGATAATGCTAATAGGCCGGGACAACCTCAATTCCCAGGTAATCCTAATTTACCGGGACAACCTCAATTCCCAGGTAATCTTAATTTACCGGGACAACCTCAAATCGCAGCTCTTCGGTAAATTCCAGGTCTACTCACCGAAATACCACAATGTCCAGCTAAAGTGATAATGTCAATTTCTTCGTTCATTGAAGGACAAGACAAGGACAACCCGTTCTTTTTAGTTATTTGTTAATTACGATTAAATATGTTACTTGTACAAAAAAAGTATTTAATAATTGTCTTATTTTTGATGCCATAATCGATGTTATTATTTGGGTAATTAAACAAAAAAAAAAACAAATATATGGAGTATATTATCAACTTTAGTAAGAATAGAAAGTAATATCTAGAAAAAGTTAAACGTTAATCTTTATACATATCATAAATTAAAAATATTATAAAAATTATTCACTTTTATTGCTCTAGTAATAAAAAAATGCTAATATTTGTAACGTTTTAGATTTTGTTGATGAAGTATTATGTGAGGGGTCAGTCTAATGAAATTCTCACTAATGACAGACTTATTATATTATAATAATTTGTAATATTCTTTTTTTAATATATAATATTTTTATTAATTTCCAGTATTTCTAATAATGTCTTATATTGTTATTTATTATTTTTAATACTGTTGTCTTTTACTTATAGTGTTATTCAGTTTAAACACTTCGAATAGGTACTGTTATTGATTTCTTATACTGTTATTTATTATTCATTTCTAATGTAATATTTTTGGTTTTGTTTGTGTACCATTAGTTTAAGTATAATAAAATAGATTTTTTTTAATTGTAAATTATTATGGTAGCGTAGGTGTCTACGGCGCGGCATTCATTTGTCAGCCAATGTTCTGGTAAAAGGATATACGGATGCGTTACCGGTTTCGTTGATGATGGGTGGGGTTTTCTAGGTTTTCCTCACCTGTAAGTCAAATGGCACCATCAACCATCTTTAAGCCGCCCCGGAGCGCCATGACAAATAATAATAGTTTCCGTCCCTTTCCCCGCACAAGCTCAGCTTTTGGGGTTAAAATTCACTCGTAAGGGGGTGAATTAGGGAGAGTATTATTATTATTAGTATCAGTCAAATAATATTATGGGCGTTTAGACGTATGTCATGTCGTGAGGGAGGTTCCAGGTAGAAATAGTAATAATACTGTCCCTAATTCACCCTCTTATGAGTGAATTTCAACCCATGAAGCCGACAGAGCGTCTTGTGTATTATTTGCCGTGTTCCTCCTATGGTTAAAATACCTAACAAGCTTATCATGCTACCAGGTTTGGATGAATTTTAGAAAACAATTTTCATATTTTACAAAAACAACACTTTTTATTTTTTTAGATTTTTAGATCATCACTATTTATATTTCACACTATTTATTTAACAATTCGAATGTCTATCTTTAAATGTACTTCAAATTTAACTGACTGACTTCCACGGCAACACAGCCCATTTATATATAAAATAGTGTATGCTCCAGATTAGTTTCGCTTTCACCATTTATTAGACTGGTGGTTTCGGCAATTTTTCGAATATGCATTTACCAAATTTATCATCGTACTGGTGTATTTTAAGAATGATTCCCAACAACTAGTCATACGCGTAGCACGGAGGGGTTGACTTATTTCTTTAAATATTTTTTGGCAATTGGATGATTTGGGCCTTAAAAGCCCAAACAAGGCAGGGGGGACTTAAAGGATTAGAGCATGGCCGGATTGGTCGGAAATGGCACGCATTACAATATAGACTGAAAAAATTTAACTAATTCTGTTAATTAATTAAGATTTGTCGCAATATCACTAAAACATGTCAATTTTTATTTTCAATAAGGCATTTTATTTGTTTATTTTCTAGAAGGGTTGCACTAACCCTCAAGAAGAAAGTTATTAATATAATTTACTCCACCAAAACCGGCTGGCGCCATTTGAGTCTGAGCATAACAAGAAAGAAGCAGTAAACCTGCTACAGGAAACACCTAGCCTTGTCTTTGGAGAATCTATAGGTGCATATGGAGGAACTGGAAAAGCAACATATGGTATTACTATGCCAGCAACAACAAGATCTGCTCACGGTCCATAGTACTTCCGACAGCAACAACAATGCTCGAGGTCTGGCATCTGTGTTTCCAAAGAAGTTTAGTCGATTGTCAGAACTTCAAGGTCAGTTACCAGCCCCTGGAGAAGCCTTGAAACATCAAGATCAATCGCGTTACCTTTTCTATTTGGTAATAAAGAACACCTTTCTAAATCGATCGTCTTATCATGATGTATGGGAAGCATTACTTAGTCTGAGAGAGCATGTACCTGAGTCAATGCTCAGCCATGCCAAAAATAGAGAATAATAGAGAGCAACCAGCTAAATTGGAGGACCACTAGAGACACACTGAAAGTAATCTTTCAAGATACCAAGGCCCAAATACTGGTCTACAACCATGCGCCTAGTGTCCAGATTACAGCGAAAACCGTACCTTGTTATTTCTTTGCAAATGGAAATGATAAAAGAGGGTGCAGTTACAGATACAATCATTCAATTTTAGTTCCAAGAGGAACTATCTAAGGAGGGGCCAATGTCGTGCGATCGTATCTGAGACCGACCCTGTTTCATTATTGACCTCGACCTTCGGCCGTTACGTCTGACGCTGGCCTGCTAGCAATCGAGATTCAACTAGAATGTTTCTTAGTACGCACCGCGACGCTTGGAGGAAGGATTTCGCGAACGTTGATTGGTTTTTTCTAGATTGTTTCATTTTCGTATAATATAGGTGAATTCTTTGGCAAGTTTCAATATAAATGTTGTCAAGTAGAGGTTAATTGTTAAATAAATTATTAGTGTGAAATAATGCTTAAGTATGTTTAAATTAATTAGTAAATAAATTGTTTTAAATAACTAAACTATTTTAAAATAAACCATCGTTACATTATGCTTTAGTAGATTTAGGAACTTGCCCCTATTTGACTCGTATTAAACAAGTAATCTACTGTTCTTATTTCATAGTGTTTTATTGTTGGTTTATTAATTATAACAATTAATATTATCAGACAGGTTATTTACATATAGGCAAAGTTTGTAATAATTATTATTCGGGGAGTCTGGGGGTATTCCTAGTAAACGAAATGAGTTTATATTATATCAAATGTAACAGAAAAGTAAAAGTTTATGACGACAAGGAATGTTATTATACGAAAAAACGTATTTATGATATCTACTTAAATTAGCATTTAAATGGCCACTGTTGCATCTTATGAAAATTTTTACATATTTTATGCAAAAGTAACCTTAAATATTTCGTTTATAAAGAATATTGATAGTCGTACTAATTATTTGTCATTTTCTTCATTCAAGATGAAGTTGTTCATTGTCTTATTGATTGGTAAGTTGTGTTTTTCTAATAAATACATTAATTACCTTTGTAACACATAATAAATACATTTGAGAGTAAATATTGATTAACACAAAAAGATTAAACTTAATTTTGTGTTTTGGATCTGAAAATCTATCGGTTTCTGCAACTATTTATATGTAAGGTATCTTACTATATAGATTGATTTTGGGATCTATCGATATTTTAAAAATAATAATATAATATTGTGAAAAGAACCAATATTGCAGCAACACTGGGTGAGTCGGTAGACTCCGAAAAGGATAAACAAATAAAATCTACATTTTCAGCTGCATATACAGCTTCAGTTTAATAAAATAAAATTGCATCAGCAATCATAGTAAGCAAACACTAAATAAAAATAATTAACAAGGTTAACTAGATTTCATTTTTTTTTAGAATAGTGTTTTACTTTAAAATCAACAGAATTAAATGGATTTAGTTTTAATTTTTTCCTATGTTTATTCAAAAAAGGAACTTCCTTTGGGATACCTATTTTACAATAATATAGGATATGTTTATAGGTACATGACATAAATAATAGCTTTACATGAATAGTAGATGACTACGGGTATTTTAAATATTTGATTAAATAAAAAAAATATATGTTTTGTAACTCACGAAAACTTAAAAATTAAATCTTGTTTTTTGTGATTTCGCATGTAGACTCTCCTTTTTTGCTTATTCTCATTCACTTGCTGGTCCAAAATTGTAAACTGTACAAGAATAAGCCATATTTATACGTTTATAGTATGTACGTCATAAATATGCGTACTGTTCTGGGCTATATCTAATATTACCTTCTTATAACTGATAAAGACACAAGTATTAAAAGTAATTTTAAAAAACCGACTTCAAAATCGTACAAATGCCGCCACCACATCTTAACCAAATTTATATGGCACCACCCCTGAAGTACCCCCTTACTAATAAAAAAAGAATCATAGAAATCGGACAAGGTGGTAAAGAACTATCGCAAAACATACATAAAATATGAAAAGTTTGAGGATTTTTGTCCAGGATCCAATTATTAGATTTTCACCAAATTTATATGGGACTATTCTTAACGTACCCCCTTACTAACAAAAAAAAACTAAACATACATAAAAAAAATATTGCGACGAATTGAGAACCTCCTCCTTTTTTAAAAACATACGAAATAAGAAAACATAAAGCATGACCAGTGGCGGTGCCAGAAGTACAAGTTTTCACCAACATCAAATTGAGTTAAATAAATAATTTCTTTATTGTATAATATAGAAACTATTCTGAGATACGGATTTAAAAGAATATTGATTATAATTTGTCTTTTTGTTTTGAAACGCATCCAAAAACCTTTTTTTTTAAATGACTAAAAACCAAATAAAAATAATTGTACTACAAAATAATACTAAATTTAAAAAATCTATTGTTTTGTTCTCTTCCAAATTAATGATATGGCCAGTTCTATCTTTATACATATATTATATGCTTTGCTTAGTCGTAATCAATTATTTTTTTTGCATAGCCTTTAGTTGTCCCAAACTGTAGGTGTTAGTTCTCTTAGACCATCATTTTTGGTCTTGATAATTTTTAATCCAGAACAATCTTTCTGAGATAAATGAAGTAAAGCAGAATAAAGTGATTTATTTTCATGGCCAAAGTTAATATGGAACTAACACTGACAGAAAACAGAGTAATTGCTTAGGAACAATGTCGCCGAACCGTGGGGCGCACTTGGAGTTTCTCCTCCAGAGACGTCACATGGTTACCCGGCTATCCTAAGACCTATGTTGACATACGATGCAGTTGTCTGAGTATCAAAGACCCGACAATTGATAGCTGAACACAAACTAAAACAAATTCAAATAGTAGCATGTCTTAACATAACAGGAGCCATAAAAACCAAACCAGCCAGAGCCATGGAAGTCATTCTTAGTTTAACTCACTTCGACATCGAGGAGGTTGCTCTAATGACAATGACAATAACGCAACCCCGCACGGTTGGAATAGAACCTCATGTAGGATCTAGTGGGGCTTAAACTTCACTTTTGGCAGGAGGCGCTTAATACGCTTCCACTGCTTCAAGTGAACATGGACTCTATCCAACTGAGATATATCTTCCATGATCCATATATAGTTATAACGAAACAAATAGAAGAGCCGGAGGTGGCAGGCGACGGTTATTAAACGAAACAATGTTCAGAATATGAAATATACTCTAGATCCTAAACATAAAATGGGCTGTGTGCCAGTGTAGTTCAAACCGAGCTCACGAGGATTCTCATAGCAGCAAAATAAGTTATCAGGAACAATACCACTGGAAGGAACATGCTCGTCTATGTAGATAGCAGACAAGCACTACTTACCCTGGACAGACCACGAATTTACTTAATGTTAGTACTAGAATGTCACGAAGCTTTGGCCGAAATATCCATCAACAATGTGGTCACCTTAAGATGGATCAAAGGTCAAGCTACACTGAAATAAATCCGCTGCTAATTTATTAGCCAAGAAGACAGCCAACCAAATACTTTTTGCACCTGGCTCTCTTATTGGACAGACAACATCGGTAGTGTCAGACCTAATTTAAGAACATTTCTTTGTAAAATAAAAAAAAAATGAGATGAAATAAGAAGCTGCAGATTGGTCAGGGAGCTTTTAAATTATTCAGACAACCCACTAGCCAACAATTACTTGACTATGACTAGACAGAATCTGCGCCTGATCACAGGCATTCTAACTGGACATTGCCAAATACGAAGGCATCTCTATTACATGGGGTTGTCAGAATTCGTAATCTGCAGGAAGTTCAAACACGATTGACTGACGCTCTCATTTATTAGAAGATTTGTTTTCTACAAATATCGGCTAGCACTGGACAATTTCATAGAAGCACCTATGTAGGCTGGCTCACAAGCTAGAAGATGCCTAATAATTTAGGAGGATACGGCGGGGCAACCCACCGTCCACACGTTATAGAGATTTTTAGTCTTTCGTCGTTGGGACTGACAATGGTGACTGAAATTGTCGATAATAATCATACCATTGAAAATATAAGTTGGATACTTTTAGTAATTTATATACATATAAACGTGAAACATTTCGAAAATCCAAGGATAACAAGCAATAGGAGGACTAATTAAAGTAGAAATATAATCCTAATTAATATTGAATTCGCTCTCTAAAGGTCTGGAGGTAATTCTTGAATGGGTATAGGACCAAGAAAAATTGTTGAGAAACGAGAAAACAAACCAAGTAGCCAGAAAAAGAGTTGAGATGAAAATGATGAAAGATAAAAGGAATATAAAATTTTGAAGAGTTTAAAATATTTTTCCATAGGTGTTTATCCACGGAAAAAGACGAAACTCATCTTCGCATACTATGCATCTGCCGAAACATCACTTTGGAATACGAAAATTTACGAAAAATCTATTTAGTGTCACTGTCAGTAGAGCATTGCAGCTCCTGATTGATTCTATGTGTCTTTTTCAGTAGCCTGAATAATTATTTCAAGTCAATCATAACTTCGAAAACATTTGCTATTTTCATTAAGTTATAAATACTATTTTTTAAATAGAATATGTTGAGATAGATCATATTTATTAATCATTATGAAAATGATTCAGAATTAAACAGAAACTAATAACAAATTTATTAATGTATTTTTTTATGTACGTGTAAATAGTATTTTGCCCAATTTCTTAAATAATAAAAGTTTATTCGATGTCTTAATTATGTTCAGAGATTAAACCTCCATTATGCTCATTTAATATATTTATGTCTAATTCTAATTTTTATTGTAGGCTTAATTGCAATAGGAGCACTTACAGAAGTGGAAGGTCAAAATCCAAATTCTGGTTCCGCTACAGTTCCAACTTCACCACCAGTTGTACCTCAAGCTAAAGCTCCACAGTTTACCATATTCCAGCCAATAGAAGATGTTGTTCACTTTTTTTTTCCTTGGTTCGTTTAATATAAAAAATATTAAAATTAAAATGCAATTTTCAAATTATCAAATATTTTAAAATTATTTTTTATTATTATCGAATAATAAAAAATTCAAAATATTCAAAAATTCGCCACGAATCAGCCAAGTAAAAAAAGTAATTATACATATGCCTACTATTTATGTAAATAGAATAAAATTATAAATCTTGTTTACTAAAAGTGTTTAATTTTTACCGAACTTCTTTAAAAACTAAATCTAAGTTAAACAAAAATGTATGCATACCTCACATGGAACTAGAAGGTAAGAAGGTAGGGAGATGCTGTCACATTGTCTAAGATAGGTTAACTTATGTCAAATTAAATTCATGTCATTCATTGTCACAAAGAAGATAGAAGTTTTATTAATAGTATTGTTGGTGGTCAAAAGTTAACTGAGACAAAACGTATAAAGCGGGACAAGAGATTATCATGTCCGATAGTCAAACAGTCATCAAAACGCTGAGCTCTTAGGTAATCAGCTCAAAAATGGTCTGGAGATATCTAGAAAAACTGAATGAGCTAAGCAAGGAAAATACAGTTACTATCACGAGTCCCGGGACATAACGGGGTAAAGGGTAACGAGATTGCAGATAGTCTAGCAAGGAAAAGGGCTAAAACATACTTTTTGGGACCTGAGCAGTTCTGCGGTATCAAGTAACATACCCTTAGGAGATATTAAAAAAGAATTGGGCAGTAGAAGAACCTATAACCGAAACAATCTCTTGAAGCTAAAACAGGCTTAGATACTTCTGGGTGAAGATAACCAGAACATATCGGAAGCCTGTATCTGCTTCAGCAAAAACAGGTTACGCATTGTAACAGGAATCCTTACTGGACATTGCCGACTCAAAGGACACCTTAGTAAACTATGAGTAGTAGAATAAAGTGTGTGCAGATTTTGTGAAAAACAGGACGAAACCCCCATTCACATTCTGACTGAATGTGTTGCACTCTAGAATCCAAGGGCATTCTCTAGGAGAATATCAAATAGGTGTCGCGGAATTTTGTTCGAACATTTTTGTTCAAATCTTTTTGTTTGAAGGAATTTTGTTCGGAAACATTTTGTTCGAAAGTTATTTTGTTCGAAAACATTTTGTTCGGAAGTTATTTTGTTCGAAAGTTATTTAGTTCGAAACCATTTTGTTCGAAAGTTATTTAGTTCGAATATATTTTGTTCGAAAGGTATTTTAGTTCGAAAACATTTTGTTCGAATATCTAATTTATTTGAAAAAATATCTTTCCTAGACAAACGTAATAAATTTCGAACATGGCTTTGTAAAGCCGAAAGTACCCGTTTATTTTTATTAAATAATTACACACTAATGTACGTGTCTATTTTTCTTTAACTCTAGGTATTCTATTAAAGTATAATTGAAAACTATAGTAACCATCTGTTGTTATAATAATATACATATTTGTAATGACAATACTATTTCAACAATGTTAGTTATAAAATCTTTAAAAACTAAATTTGGCAATAAAATGATGTATATCGATGGTTACTTCTACATATAAGATAGAAAAAAAGGAGCAGTGCTTTACTGGAAATGTGAAGAATTCAAAACTGGATGCTAAGACTGATAACACGGAATGGTAAACATAATGAGGTAAGAGAACATAGTCATCCTGGAAAACCGGAGGCAGCCGATGTTAAAGAGGTTTTGGGAAAAATAGACACTAAAGTCAAGTCATCCATAGAAACTCCGCAAGGAATTATATCTGGAGCCATAACTTCAACAAGTAGTTCTGTATTAGCTCGTATACCTGCTATTTCAAGCTTAAGGAGAACGATCAGAAATAAAAGAAGACGAGAAAACAATTACCCAGCCCTTCCAAAGGACAAAAACGAGTTAAGGGCCATCCTCCACCTGAATTTTTAAGCCAAAAACAGCGGTTAAGCTCGTGCGCAATTACAACTTTATTTTTCAAAATTACTTAAAACTACTTGTGCAGGTGATGAAAGAAAACGTATTTCTAGGGATGTATAAGAACAAAACGATTAATTTTTTTTAAACATTGCTATTATTCAAGATAGAAAAAGGTGACAATATTACGTATTTTAAGGCACTAATCATGTCATTATAAGAAATAATTTGGAAAATCTAATTCTATATATCCCTGCTGCAAATCTTTTACTTTGTCCTAAAATGTTCTTTCTTCAAAAAAGTCAAAAAATAAGTTATTAATCGCGCACGGCCTGATCCTCTGCAAGTAACATTTTTCTAACCGTAATGTGGCGCCCTTTGCACTGAAATCTATTAACAACCAAATTAATAGATAAACAATCTATTGACCCACCTTCGTCAAGTGTGAAATTTGCAACGGCCCGCACCTCCCTGATAATTTTAAGTAAGGGATCGGTTGGAAGATGATTCTTAAACTTACCGATAACATACACAATAACTAAAAATTTACGCATATTGTCAAATGCAACGTATTGGTATATGGATGGTACATTCAAAACTGTGCCTAACATATTTTACCAACTCTATGTAAGTAATGGTCAAGTAAACAAGTTAGTGGTACCACTAATTTATACTTTAATGCCCAATAAAGCAGAAAGCACTTATATTAGAGTATTTTCCGTAATAAGGAAACTATTAAATGGAAATCTAAGAGCAACGGCAATAATGACAGATTACGAGATACCTGTAATGAATTCCCTAAAATTGATTTTCCCTTCTGAGAAGCATTACGGCTGCTCCTTTCATTTTAGGCAATGCTTCTATAGACAAATTCAAAAAAGTGGATTAAAAAAAAATACGATAGCGATACTGATTTTTCGTTTAAGGCTAAACGTTTGCAAGCCATTGCATTTGTTCCCGAAAATTTGATTAAACATGCTTTTAATGTCATTATGGAACATAATATGATGGGCGCGGAATTTCAAAATATAGTTAACTATATTGAAGATGTGTGGATAGGAACAATGGAAAGAAGAGTTAGAAAAAACCTACATGTCCACATAGGAGTTGTTATTATAGTATCAAGAATAATACATCCATTACAAACAACAATGTCGAGGGCTAGCATAGATAATTTTTGACTCAGGTTAAAGCTACAAAGCCATCGATTTGCAATTTTCTAAATAATTTTGTAAGGAACAGACTTTAAGTGAACTCAAATTTAATTTTTAAAGATTTTATAATTGACATTGTTTAAATAGTATTGTCATTACAAATATGTATATTATTATAACAACAGATGGTTAATATCCTCTGCGACCTGGTACTATTAAAACTTTTTTAAACAAAAAATTAAATTTCAATAAAAAATATCATCTTTCTTCGATTAGTTTTATTTCAATAAACATTTAACAGATCAAACGACGCAACTTTTAAGCAAATTATATCAAAAGCCCTATATTTTTCTACAAATTTGATTTATACGACTTAAAAAAAACAAATAGACACGTACCTTAGTGTGTATAAATAATTAATAACAATAAGCGAGCACTTTCGGCTTTACAAAGCCATGTTCGAAATTTACTATATTTGTCTAGGAAGAATATTTTTTAAATTTATTCGAACAAAATGTGTTCAAACTAAATACCTTTCGAACGAAATGTTTTCGAACAAAATGGTTTCGAAATAAATAACTTTCGAACAAAATACCTATCGAACAAAATGCTTTCGAACAAAATGCTTTCGAACAAAATTCCTTCGAACAAAAATTTTCGAACAAAATTCCGCGACCCATCAAATAGAAGAGGGAGACATACTTAACTTGAAGCCACTCCAAATCCTACACTTCCTTGAGAAGATATATACATCGAGACATTTTTTGTTGCATTAGCGACAGAAGGGGACATATGGGATCTTTTTGCTGGCAGTGTATTAACACCCCATTCCATCCCAACATAACATAATTCAACTAATTGACTTAATTGTTTTACTAGTTAATATCTATCCCGGTCTCCAGACCACTAAAATGGAGATTTTTCTAAATGTACGCATACATGAATTATAAACATTTATCTGACATTTCCTTTAAAGCACATACCAAAATATTTAAATTTGTCTGTGATCTGCAAAGTAAAATAATTTGAATTATTTTTCCAAAAATGCGAAACGTTTTTCCCACTTACTGTCGTATCAGTAGTATTAAATAATGTAAAATGCAGTAGAAAAATAAAAAATGACGAAAATGGTTTTTTTTTGTGCATATTTCTTAGATATCCATTTAAATTCGAATTTATTTTATGAAACATTTAACATATTTTATGTAAAACAATCCATAACTTTTTCTATAAAACATGAAATTAATATATTTCTGTACTACTTTAACAATTTTAGTGATTCATCATCATGAAGTTATTTTCCGTTTTAGTTATGGGTAAGTGTAATTTTACTGTTTAGAATATTTTAAAATCTCTTCCGTGATAAATGTGGAGAAAAAGTCATTAGTGAAGACGATTTAGTTTCTTAGCAAGTGTCCAAAATTATCATACAATTAGAAAAATGGTCAGACCATCCTCAACTTTACTAATGATATTTATTTAGCTATATTATATTTTTATAATATAAGAAGAATATAAAACAAGAAGGAAAATTAGAGGTAAGTTAAGATGATTTAAAAATGTCTGTCATTTGCATGCAAAAAATAACATTGGAATCGGAAAGATAAATCACATGGATTAACAACATTATGGAAGCTGATTCGAGGAAAATAGCTTAAGGAGGACCAATATTTGGAGTATGGGACCTTTGATTTATTTTAAACTGGCCGAAAGCAGTAAAATAGCATTGGGACTGTCGATATTAGCATAAGCTAATACACGAAACATGACAATCGTGCCTACGAGATATTAACAGCATTAATGCACCAAGCATGATTATTAGCTATCATTCAAGTTGGATGTATGATTATTATCGATTAATAATCAACTGAAGGTTTGGAAAATAATTACAATAACTGGGATTTTAAATTTAAAAAGTTTTAATTTTTTCTTTGTGTTGATAATATTATATTTTAAAAGGTGTATTTGGATAAAGTGGGGCATTATAATATTCAC